GTCTAATAAACATGGCTGTCAGGTCGCGTGACAGGTACTCAAATGCCTTACTTTGTCTCTTAAGGCCATCCTCAGTCATGTCCATTGCTCTGTTCAGTCGCAGCCAATAATCAAAGGGGTCCTCCCCTTCCTTTGGTAAAGTTGCATAAAAATCAGCCAAGGGCATGCCAGAAGAGACTGTATCACTGAAGTGCTGCTTTAAAATCTCAAAGATGGGACCTGGGCCACTAGACAGAGATATCAGTGGTTTACTACGAATTCCCACTTTAACCACTTCCCTTGCCCTCCCCCCAAGTTTAACCAGCACTTCCTCAGCCTGTTCAGTAACTGGAACCCCTTTTCTTTTTAGAAATGCCAACATCAGCTCCTCCCACTCCTGCACAGTGAGACCATCTTGCCCATCCCCTTTAAACCCAGTGGGCTCTTTAGCTTCAGAGTGTACCACTACATTTAGTAGAGATGGATCTACAACTGTGTTAACAGCAGGGTTTCTGGAGATAGACCCTAGCCCAGTACTTAAACGAGATTCCAGACACGAGGCAATGGACTCGCCAATGGACAAGCCGATTCGGGCAGCCATATCAGCCATGTAACTTTCTGAAGCCCCTCCCTCTTGTGAAACCTGAGCTTGACACACATCATGACTAGCACACCCCGATGTATCAACACCCTCCACCAGATCCCTAACTGCAGGTCCTGGAGTGGATGACTCTTGAAAGGGCAAAAACATGGCCCTGCCCCTGCCAAACCCTGGGAGAGGAGTAGATGTTGCTGTCCCCCTCCCACGACCCAAAACTCTGGTAATGTCCATCATGAGCACCAAAAAAAATAAATAAATAAAAATGAACACCCAACTACTGCATACAATGAAAGATCTGAAAATTCCCCAGCAAAAAAATTGAAGTGGCTGATGAAAAATAAAAATAAATTATTTCTCTTATTAATCCACTTTCTTATTTTTATAAATCTTTCATACCATATAGTTTTTTTTTTTTTTAGCCACCCAACAACAAAAAGAAAAAAATAAAATAAAAAAGACAAATCAAATCTTTCTGATCATTTCAGTCAAAACACATTCAGAAACAGGTCAGCTCAGCCATCAAGAAGGATATTGTGTCACTTAGCAACCAGAGCTCTACCAAGGTCCCGGTCACCCATCCAAGATGGCGGCCGTATTCAGTCACAAATAGCTGCAGGCTGCAGTTCACCACACGGCCACTGCGTCACCGCCACCGTCCAATGCAGCAGGCAGACGAGGCTCTGAAGGTCCCCACTGCGCCAGTAGCGGATGCCCCCCCCTCCTGCAGCGTAGCTCCGTTACCACAGCGACAGCACCAGGCAATAGACGCGTCCCACTCCGGCGATGGACGAAGGATCCGGGTCACGGCGCCAGTGTAACCATACCAGCCCTGGTACTGGTAGGTTCAGTTCTTTATTAACTCTGCGTTGTGTTGTACAAAGAGTCTTGAGACGAAGTTTTTGCTGACACCAGCATTTAATCTGTCAACACAGGAATGCTGGTCAGAAACCTAGCTTTTGGTAGGATTGGTAGGATCAAACAGCACACTCTCGATCGGCTCCGTCTTAAAACTGACTAACGTCCGTTAAACACATAACTTTAACAATTACCTGTCAACACAGGAATGCTGGTCAGAAACCTAGCTTTTGGTAGGATTGGTAGGATCAAACAGCACACTCTGTTGGAATAAAAATACTGACATAAGTATTAAATAACTTTGAAAGTTTTCCTCACATACGTGCGCTGATAGAACCCGACCTACCTCGATCGGCTCCGTCTTAAAACTGACTAACCGCCAGCGCAGCTGGACACGTTAGTACGTAATGCACGTAAACGGTTTCAACTGTTTTACTGATGGCAAGTGGAATGACACTATTTACTCTGTTACACTTGCAGGTCTGCAGGATCTGCTGTTAAGACAATAACCTCCCTAGTTACATCCAGACGGAGCGTTTCTCTGTTATACCAAGAACCTGGGAAAGTTTGTTTTCTGTGAAGGGAGTGTGTGTTCACCATTTATGTGTGTATGTGCTGTGTTACTTGTGAATAAAACCTTTTTGAGAGCTTCGGCTTGATGAGAGATCAGAGACCCAATTGGTGCGTGTCTTCATTTCTCTCCGGTTTCGCAAAATCTGGTTGTTGATTATTGGTGTTTATTGGTAAATGATATTGATAACCTAATACCTCTAACCTCCTTGCGTGTGTTGGACTTTCTTTGAGGTACACCTAGACTGATTAAATAAAAATACCCAACAGTAACATTCATAGTCAAAGTGATCCTTAATCAGGTTTGTTGGTGGGGCGATGGCAGAGGAGTTAACTCGAGCCCCGCACAGGCTGTCTCAGGGTGGATGTGTTGTGAAGCACCTTGGGGGGGTTGTAGAACACCAGATGCTATACTAATAGAGACTAGGGATGCACAATATATCTGCATCAAAATAGGTATCGGCCGACGTTAGTCATTTTTTAACATAACAGTCCGATAAATAAAAATGGGCCAATATCAACAATATTTTTTTTCCATCTTGTTTCCATTTGTTTATGTGTTTTGGAGGGTGACGGGGGTGATGTGTATTTGTTTAGTCACGTGACAGTGATTGCAATCACCTCAGAAGCGTAAATGTGTATGTACATAATACAGAAATTCAGCTTTAATAATTTTCATTCTTTACAAAATCTGCTGATTTTAGAAATATTAATAAATATCGGTATGAGCATAGAGACCTTTTACCCTTAAGCCTAAATTATACTTCTCCATCTGTGTCGGGACGAGCGCAACGCCATTATCCGTCCTTGCGGGCGTGCTGGAGAGCCCTCGCAAAGACTGACAGAGTCGAGCTCTCTTTTCTAAACATCTGTCCATCGAGACGGAGAACGCAAGCTTGTGATTGGTCAGGGCGCCGCTGTCATCAACACCGCCGCCATTGCGCCCTCAAAAACGTAAAGAGAGCCGTGGATATCTAGCGGCAGACATGGAGAAGCTTGAAGAATACCTCGCGAGAAAACTCTAAAAACATGAATGTTTAATTCCCCCGTGAATGGAGGAGTGAAAAGATGCGCAGCAAGCGTTTTATTGGTGGACGGAAATGACAGGAAACGTGGGTTTAGAGGTGGGGAGCGCAGGAAGAGGTGGAGGAGAATGAGAGACAAATTTGTTCATGTTAAAAAGTCTCTTATATACAAAAAACACAATATAAACACAATATATTGGACCGGATACATGACAGGATACCACAGAACAGCGCTTCGTCCTCTGTTGTCCTGGAGGGGAATTGCTTTGCAACACTCTCCAGGAGACGGAAAAGTATAAGCGCAACATGTCTCCGTCCGTGCGTGCGTGTCTCTCCCTTTTGAAGCTGACAGAGAAGTATAAATTAGGCTTTAGTTGGCTGAAGCTGTTACTCTAAAGTAAAATGCATATTTAATTTGTAGAACTCACCAGTCATGTTTTGTGACCTGCAATGCTTCACGTTCCTGTTAATTTAGATTCTGGGTGCTAGTGTTTAAATAAGGCTGTCAGTCAACCAGTATCTCTGGTCAGGTTGTTCTTGTCCATCCTTTACTTTTTATTTACACCTACTACTTTTTTATTGATACCAATACAGGCAAGGTGCATATAAGGTCATAGCTCAAGTGTCAAAAAATGCAATTTTGTCACACACACACACACACACACACACACACACACACACACACACACACACACACACACACACACACACACACACACACACACACACACACACACACACACACACACACACACACAATCCAAGTATGACATTTTATCTGTTAAACTTTAAGTCAGTACAGCTATTCCAAACTTGAACACTGAAACTCAGCGTCTCAGATGTCTGCTAATGTGCTCCACTGTGGCGAATAAAACTGTTCCTGTTGAATGAGTTCTCCTTAAACTGGCTTACCAAGACGGCATTTAATTGTTGCAAATGAATTTGGTCTGAACCTAAGCCCCCCTCCTCCCTGAATGTGTCTGAAACTTGGTCAGATTGTTCTTGTTCTTCTCAGGGTTACTGAGTTCATAAGTCAAAGTGTTCTTGTTCTAGCAGATTACAACTATGTCTAACTATGTGGCAACTGCTCCAATTCTCCCACAAGCTTTGTAAAAGGAAATGAGTTTCAGGACCATCAAAAAGGAGTTGCATTTCAGAATGTTTACTGTGATTAGACTGCTTGATTCTTTTAGACGATGAAACGTGCATAATTAAGGATCTTGTGTGGGCGGCGGGTGGTGGTGGGTGTGTGTGTGTGTGTGTGTGTGTGTGTGTGTGGGGGGGGGGGGTAATCTCTGAAGGAATAATCTGTTGCCGTCTGGAGAAAAGATGTTCTTGTGAGGAAACAAGAGGGACATTACAGTATCATATTCTGCTTCTGACTCCTATAAAAAGAGATGAAAAGGAGGGCCAGAGTAAAAGGGCGATGTGGCACACACACACACACACACACACACACACACACACACACACACACACACACACACACACACACACACACACACACACACACACACACACACACACACACACACGCGTGGTGTCGTATATCTTTATGAAGAAGGGCTTTGTGAAGGAAGCCTGGCAAGGTGAGCTCAGAGGGAAGGAAGTTTTAAAGAGTTTTGGAGTTAAAACAAACACAAAAGAAAAAGGATTGCTTTGGCTTCATATTGTGGCTGCTGCAGCATTCTTTTAGGAATTACCTGAACAAGAAAACACGCCAGCTCGACAACTGCCAGCATCTCAGTTTTATTTCTGCATTTACATTAAACTGATGAATCAGAAACATGGAATAGAATAACAAGTATTTCGAGTGTATACCTGTGCTGTAGCCAAAAACAAACCTTGTTGCATTGGCTTCTCACTTTGATCACTTCCATCTTTGAGCCAACCCCCTTTTTTACCCAGAGCTCTTCAGGATGACCAATCGGATGCAGGAACCTCCCATCAAAGGACTGAGTCCTGGCTTTTGGAGCTCCTGGTTTTCACTTGGATCAAACGTCCCCGCTGTTCTCACCTTCACTTGGTGTAGCATCATCTGTGTACTCACGTGGGCTTGTTATAACACACCACTGGAAATTAATGGATTTTCACTAAAGTGGTTCATTTCCCAGCTAGAAGTAAGTACATTTTTTATTTTGGCTAGCCTTTACAACGATAATTCCTGAATTCCACTATCTTCCCCCCCACACACCTGTTTGATGATATATTAACACCACACAAAGTTAAAAATTATCCTGCTGTCTCGTGAGGATTGCATTACCATCATTATGTCTTAGCTGTCGTTGAACAAGACTTCTATGATCATGGCATTCAGAGAAAAAGGGAAAGTTAAATGTGCAAAGTGTGAGTTAATTTGAAGAAAAGATGTTCAAATTTTTTATGTTAAAGTCGATTCTCAAATCTTTAGGATGCAAATCCAAGTCTTTCAGGGCCAGTTTGAGTCTTAACTATTTAAGGAGGCGAGGCAAGTGTGCAGGAACAATTTCAAGTCAAATCTCAAGTCTTTGAGAACCCCATTATTGTCAAGCTGAAAGATTTTGAGAGCCAAATCACGTTTCAAGTCCAAGTAGAGTGATAGGTCTCTTAGAACAATGCCCAAGGTAGTCCCAAGTCTCTAAGGGACAAGTCTCGGGGCTTATAACCTGACCTTAACTCTCCAGACTAACATTTTCTGACTCTCTGGGATCGAAAGCTGTCTGTGTAAAGTTAAAATCTGCCCTGATCAACAGAGTCTTTTAGCCGGGTTTTTGTTCCTCGGCCCTTTAGTGAAAGTTAAGCCTGTCTGACTTTGCCTGAGCTTCACTGAGAGTGTGAGATGGCCAGAGGTGTGACCAAGTCACTGCTTTGCAAGGCACAAGGTCCAAGTCAAGTCCAAGTCCTTAACTTTGAATTTTCAAGTCATATTCAAGTCATCTGTCCAACTTCAATTTATTGACAATGATAATAAATACATTCCAGAAATAAAGCTTCCCTTAAGCCCTAGACCTATTTTGAGGCTTATTCCTCGAAAAATTGTAAAAATGGTATTAATGGTAAAATTAGTTTAGAGAGCCTTGTAGTGCTGAGTTTGCTGATTATTTGTTGGGGATTTTTACTATTTCTTCTGTAGTATGAGGTTTTTTTTGGGCCTGTTAAGGAACTAACATCACAGGGTCCCCCCGGCTTAAAGCTTCATTTATTTGCTCAAACAAGCAGAACGTGCTACTGAAACTGATTATTAACAAAGTGCTGCTGCAGTTAGCTGTACAAGATCAAACCCAGAGCCAAGAATGATTTATGATTATTGTTCATGTCGGGTCACTTTTGTGCTAAAATATCAAATATGCTCAAGTCAACAGATGCAAGTCGATTCAAGTCGCAAGTCTTTATAAAATTTATCAAGTCAAATCAGAAGTCATAAAAATAATGACTCAAGTCTGACTCGAGTCCAAGTCATGCGACTCGAGTCCACACCTCTAGACGGCCCCTAATGAAGCTCAGATTGTTTGTCTCTGAGACTAAAGATGCATCTCTTGGGTAGTTAAAAAGCGCATTTTCAAAGGATTGCCAGTGTTATTAAGAGTCTTTTGAGAACTTTTAAAATATCTCGGCACACTTCAATGTTAAGTTAGGCTGGGCGCAGGAGCTTAACCTGACAGGTCATGTATGATGAACTTAGCAAAGATGAGTGGAATCATAAAAGTTAACATGGATGGTTTTTATTTTCCTTTCCAAGTGGCTGAGAAGGAAGCACGCAACCACAGGAGGGAGTCGCAGAATGGCTCCACCAGTCACGCCAAAGATAAGAGCTCAGAAAAGGCAACAGTTCTTCACAAAAATGTAAGTGTGTCACCTTTAGTTTGTCTAAGTTGTTAAGTTGTTCAGAGAGAAAGAGCTTTGTTAGATGTTCACACCACAGAAACCCTTTATCCTTACATTTAACAAAAAGGGGAGGTGGAGCCGAGTACCAGGCAGTACAGTGACAAGCGTCTCTGCAAATTAACTGTGCAATCATCCAGTCAGCAGCGCCGCCAAGGCCCTCTAAGCTTCTCGAGCCCTTAGACAAACTAAAGTACTGAGAAGTGTTGCTAGAATAAGATAAATGTGATCATTTTGGTAAAGTATTAATGATTCTCATGCTTTTGAAAATCTCTGTTAAACAATCAATCTATTTATTTATTTATTATTTATTTAACCAGGAAGGTCCCATTGAGATCAAAAACCTCACTTTCAAGGGAGTCCTGGCCAAGAGGCAGCAAAAGTTACAGTTACAAATGTTTTCAGTTACACAGACATGTTATGTACAAAATTACAGAAGGCAGTTACAACTCAGGGTATCCATCTCAAGGACTCTTAAGTCTGACAAAAGTCATCAATCTGTGTTTCACTTGACATTTTGGGGTAGTCAAATCGTGTTGAATCCACGCGGTGAGATTTGTTCAGTGAGAGAGTAAGATTGTGTAAAGCAAGACAAGGTTTGATGTTGGACACTTCTCCAAGCTGGTTTGACCACAAGTTAAAGATCTGAGTAAAGTGAATTGGTGTAGTTTCAGTATCCCCAGGTAAATCAGGATAATATGTATCCCTCATTCTGAGCATATTAATATTCACCAAGGGGACACAACATGGTCCCAGGTCCACAATACGCCCCCCCCCCCCCCCCCCCTAAAAAAACAATGAGGCTATGAAAAACATTATAATCTTCATCTTACAAGGCACAAGGTCAGCAGAATAATGTTTTTGAGCAATAAATGCACAAGAATTAGGTTCCAGGAAGGTGTTGAAGGCTGTGTGGATTCTGGGGGTTGCAGCAGGGCCAAGCTAAGTTTATGGAGTATGATCCAGTAAGAGTCCTTTGTGTGATGAAATCTGCTTCAGGTTTAACATCCTCTCGTGGCCAAACAATCTTCAGTCTCCTGTCTTACAAAACATCAACTCAGCAGAATAAAGAGTAAACTTTCACTGTCATTTTGTTTTAAATGCACCCAGGTTGGCCTGATGAGCGGCATTTCTCTAATTGTGGGAACGATGATTGGATCTGGGATCTTCATTTCCCCTAAATCTGTTTTGCTCTACTCGGGAGCTGTGGGACCTTGCCTCCTCATCTGGACTGCCTGTGGAGTGTTAGCCACTCTGGGTGAGAACTGCAATCTGCATCAGGATTATCATGCTTTTATTTTAATATAAATAATAAAAATATAAAACAAAAAACACAAGAAACGGGAAGTGTCTGTTCCATAGAGAAGTGTGAGGAGAGTCATGCTGGTAGCCATTACATAATCAAAATATTATGACATGAATTTTGCAATAAAAAGCAAGTTATGGCCAAGAGAAACGGAAGTCTGCAGCAGTGCAGGGACCACTCTCGTTACGCTGTTGTCGCCTAATCTTTTGTAAAAAGGACATTGCACCACATTACCGCCACGGTCTGACCACTCATAAACGATCTGAGGCTTCAAGATGGCGCCACTGCGTCGCAGCAAATTGACAGCATTGTTTTGTAAAAACGGCTTAATATTTTATCCACTTTTTAGGACAGCATCATGTTAATTATTGTAAGGATGATGCAATCTTTTCATTTCCTCATACTGTTTAATGTTTAGTGTGTACATTTCCCAGAAGATTATTGCACCGGACTTTGTCCTTCAGTTTCAGGATGGTAAACGTTAATGTGTATGGGGACAACAACAAAAAACTGTTTGTAAGCTGGATGGGTAGCTGCAAAATCATCCCCACCATCTTTAAATGTCTTGGGTATTTATTTACACAGAGATATTTTGTATTTTCACAGCTTGTGTAATTAGAGAAGATCCCTGTAGGTGGCAGTATTTGCAGTAAGGCGCTTTTGCATCATTTCCTGTTTTCAGTGTTGCACTACATGTAGCTGTTCGGTGTTTGTGGCTCGCTAAAATTGATAAAATTTCGCTATGTCCTGGGAACACGGCTACTTAAAGATCATCAAAAATGCCTTTCAGAATATGTCCAGCCAAACAACAACAATAACAACAACAACAACAATAATAATAATACTTTTTGATGCATGGGTTAATTTTCTATGTGTACACAGGTGCATTGTGCTATGCTGAACTCGGTACCATGATCACCAAATCAGGAGGGGAGTACCCTTATTTAATGGAGGCCTTTGGCTCCCTCTTGGCCTACCTTTACTCCTGGACCACCATCATGGTTCTGAAGCCATCCTCCTTCGCTATCATTACTCTGAGCTTTGCAGAATATGCCTCTGCTCCGTTCTACCCAGGCTGCACTCCTCCTACTCTGGTTATCAAATGCCTCTCAGCAGCTGCTATAGGTAAGTGTGCATATAAAAGCAGATGGGCTGTCTTTGTTTATATCATTGGATCAGGCATGTCCGAAGTGTGGCCCTTGGTCTGATGTAGGCCCCATTTCTAGATGGCAGTCTGCTGACATAGAACAGCACTACTATTTTTTATTTTATACTCGGACTTTTACTGAGATGTCCATATTTAGTCATTTTTGAGCAATGCACCAATGAAAAAGAACATTGGCTTAATATAATCTTAGCCTTAAAATTCTCAATTTTGTTGCACATCAATAATTTTAACTTGATGATCTTAAACAGATTGGATATGTTTTACTAAAAGGCCCATTTTTACAATCGGAACTTCTGGGTAATTTTACAGGACCATCCCAGGATGCGCATGTCTCCATTTCACAGGGCCAGCCAGAAAGGACCAGTTTCCGGGCCATTTCAGGAACCAGCCTGTTTTGGGACATGAACTCTAAATTATCCCGGTAGAGTCGCTGGGCGGGACTTGTGGCTAACTTGTGTCATCACGCTTAGACTACTGTAACGCTCTTTTTACTGGTCTCAGCAAAACCTCCCTCTCATGCCTTCAAGCCATCCAAAATGCAGCAGCCATACTCCTAACCAAATCCAGCAGACGAGCTCACATCACCCCAGTTTTACAGTCCCTCCACTGGCTCCCGGTAGAATATAGAATTCAGTTTAAAGTTTTAGTCCTGACCTATAGAGCTCTTAACAACCAGGCTCCAAGCTACCTATCTGAGCTTTTATCCCCACACACCACCTCTCGGAACCTTAGATCCACATCTGAAAACCTCCTGGCTGTTCTTCGAACCAGACTGAAAACCAAAGGGGACAGGGCCTTTCAGTCTATTGCACCCAGACTTTGGAACAGTCTACCTTCTAATCTCCGTCTCTCTAACACTGTAGAGGCCTTTAAAAATCATCTAAAAACTCACCTTTTCATCCAGGCGTTCCCTCCATAAATGTTTCAGAATGATGGCTTTGTTCGGGTTCACACCTTCACTTTGTTTATATCCATGATTTAATTTTCTATGTTTATCACTGCTATTGTTTTTCAGATGTTTTTATTGGTTAGAGGTATTTGCCCTGATCTTTATCATGTTGTACAGCGTTTTGTGATTTATATCTGTGAAAGGCGCTATATAAATAAACTTTTACTTACTTACTTACTTACTTACTCTTGCTGATTGGTTGTAACTCATTGGGAAATGACATTAATAGAACAGATAAAGTCTGTTTCTTCTGATCATTGACTGAACCTTTTCATGTCCTACAGCCACTCTCCCTGATCCCCAAATGGACTGCTGTGCTTTGACTGAACTTTTAGATCAGTGACATCACTGCAATGGTTGTGATATGCTGACGACAACGTCCTGAAAGGGCTGATTTTGTATGGACACATGGCTGTGAGGGCTAGGCTATTACATTTTCCCTGTCACCTTCCCTCTCTCAGAAATGTCCCAGAACTCTTATAATGGGAATGGGCTGATTGTAGACATTTATTACAAAAATGTTGAAACTTAGGGGTGACGGTGGCACAGGAGTTAAAGCTTCTTTCGGGAGAATTTCTTTTATCTAATGGCACCATCTAGTGGCTGACAGGCATATCACACAAAAAGTCTATTCCTCTGCTTGTTTTATATCGCAACTTCACGTTTCTGTTTATAAATGTGCTTCTTAGCCGACAAACGGAGCTAAAACACGTTGTTTTACGAGTAATATTCTCATGTCATGTTGTGTTTTCATATATTTATATTTTAGAGACTTACTTGTCTGTGAAAAGTTCATCAACTCTGCATCCAACTGAGGTATTCCTTAAATTTGAAGCAAATAAGCGGTAGTCTAACACTAGTTAGCTTTGGTCGGCGCTCAGTTTCCTATTGAATGGGGCTCTGCGGAGCGGGGGGCATGCTTAGCAAAAAAATTAAAAAAGACACATTGCTTACATTTTATCACAGTACATGACGAGACGATGGCTTTTACGGATTTCTGAAAAATCACACATCATTCCTGAAAGGGGAAAACTCCGGAAAGAAGCTTTAAGTGCTTGCTCCGTAATCAGAAGGTTGCAGGTTCGAGCCTCGCTCAGTTTATCGCTGTCATTGTGTCCTTGGGCAAGACACTTAACCCCCCTTGCCTGCTGGCGGCGGTCAGAGGGACCGGTGGCGCCAGTGCTCGGCAGCCTCACCTCTTTCAGTGCGCCCCAGGGCAGCTGTGGCTACATTGTAGCTCATCCATACCAGCATGTGAATGGGTGAATGACTGACTATGTTGTAAAGCACCTTGGGGGGGTTCCAGGACTCTAGAAGGCGCTATATCAAATACAGGCCATTTGCCAATTAATGATTTTATTGTATGTGTTAATAGACAAGTAAAACAGATGTGTTAAGATTTTTGATGCACCATAAACTTCACGTAGGGTTTTTGTAATCACAAACTTCAATGTCTTGTTTCCCCTCAGTCATAATCGTCATTGTCAATTGCCTGAGCGTCAAACTAGCGAGCTACGTGCAGAATTTTTTCACAGCAGCCAAACTTGTCATCATCATTGTCATTGTGGCAGCTGGCATCGTTCTACTGGCGCAAGGTGGACCCCCTCTTCTACTCTCACAATACTTCTCATTTGACACAGAATTTCTTCAGAATATTTATCCTTAACCTTGTTTATTGCATATATTTGATCCAGGAAACACAGAAAACTTGACAAATGCCTTTGAAGGCTCATCAGCATCTGTTGGAGCAATTGGACTTGCATTCTACAATGGGCTCTGGGCTTATGATGGATGGTAACAGATTCTGTATGATGATGAAACGGTGGTACTCAAAGCAGTTTATGTGTTGCTAATGAAAACTCAAAAGCATTGCAGCTTTAATTAGTAATGTTTCATTCATTATGACACTGAGCATATTTGTTCATCTGGCACAAATTTTCTAAAATGTTTTGCAAAATCTGCAGGGAATTTTTTTGAAAGTTTAAATTACTGTTAGGGTGTAGAATTCTGAGAGAAGCGGCCGTTGGATAGTCGAACCTCGGATTCAGGTTTTCATCCTGGCTGTAGAACACTGGACCTGCTCTATACCCATGCGGTCCTGGAGGGTGTGTGGGGGTTCGCCCATCCAGTCTATGTGCGTTTTGTTGACTTGGACAAGGTGTTCAATTGTGTTACTCTGGGATTTCTTTAGTTGGCACTCCAGATGTATGGGGTACCGAGTCCCTTGACATGGGCTGCTACCTTGTATGATCAGTGTCAGAGCTTTTATGGACAGGATTTCTAGGCGCAGCAAAGGTGTTGGGGGGGGGGTCTGTTTTATTGGCCGTAACCTCCAGCTTACACTGGGGCAGCTCGTGAGTGTTAATGGCCAGGATGAAGATCAGCACCTACAAATCTGTGACCACGGTCTTGATCTCGACCAAGGTAGAATGCCTTCTCCAGATCACGGTCGAGGTCCTGCCCATGTGGAGGTGTTTAGATGGATTGGTACTTCATCTACAGTGACAAAGCGTCACCAGTAAATATTTTAGTTCATACTAATGAAAATCAAGTTTAATTGAGGAGTTAGGTCTTCTGAGGATTTAATCTATTAATTGTTGGAAACAAATCTCTTTTTTCCCCCCCTCAGGAATCAGCTAAATTTTATCACAGAGGAGCTGAAGGACCCATTCAGGTAACATAATGAACGTTACCTGATATATTTAGTTTAGGGAATACTTAAAAATACAAATTGGCTTAATAATTTTCTACATGCAACTTAATTACACCATCCACGAGAGACTCACAGCACAACATATGGTTTTAATGATGTCTCAGAAATCTGCCGCTGGCGATCATCATCGGCATCCCTTTGGTGACCGTCTGCTACGTGTTGGTCAACGTTGCCTACTTCACCGTCATGACCCCCACTGAGCTCCTGGTGTCTCCAGCTGTTGCCGTGGTGAGGAGTCACTGATGTAATAATTTATCCGTATGGAATATAGTTAAATTTTAAAAGGTATTAATGCATGGATGTAATTTTGGGGGGGGCAGGGGGGGGACATGTCGCCCCCACTTTTTCCAAAGTCAAGTTTTGACCCCTGCACTTTTTACCATCCCAAAACAATATTACTCTATATTAAATTGACACTGGTTGAGCTCTAAGACCAAGCGGAAAACAACCGTTTGTGTTGAAGCCTGTTTCCCATTAGAACATACTGTAAAGATACACCCCCCCCCCCCCGTGTCCCCCCCACTTCTAAAGTGAAAATTATGTCCTTGTATTAATGATAACTTTCCAAAATAAGCTCTTCAAGTTCAATTTTTTTCTTTTCATCATTAGAGATGTAGATTAAAACAGTAACGGCTCATGTGTTCCACTCATTTGTCTTTGCTGAAGCATTTTTTTCTGCCTCCATAGACTTTTGGAGACCGAGTACTTTACCCTCTGTCTTGGATCGTCCCTCTCTTTGTTGTCTTCTCAACGTTTGGATCTGCCAACGGAAGCTGCTTCACTGCTGGAAGGTAATAGGATACATTCTCACATGACTCTGTATGTGAAAGAAAAGAAAAAAAACTGAGCGCAACAATTGAGCAAAAATGGCAAAATTACATTTTCATCATCTTTTCTCTGTAGGCTGGCTTATGTATCTGGCAGAGAAGGTCACATGGTAAAGATCTTATCCTACATTAGCCTGAGGCGATGCACTCCATCACCAGCGCTTTTATTTAACGTGAGTTCCCAACATTTTTAGGCGTCGCAAAATCAACTTCCTGATTCCCATCGAGCACATTTTTGTTGGCGTGAAACAAAATATCTAACTGTGTGGTTTCTCTCTGTTTTAGGGTGTTCTAGCTATTTTTTACATCATCCCTGCAGACATTAACACACTCATTAATTACTTCAGTTTTGCTCAGTGGGCGTTTTATGGTCTAACAGCTCTGGCTCTCATAGTAATGCGCTTCACCAGGAAGAAACTCGATAGACCTGTAAAGGTGAGGCGCTCGAGGCTTTTTAGAGGCAAACATCTCTCAGCATCAAATACACCAAACAGCTTCCTTTCTGTGTGTCTTACCATGTGAAGGTGCCGATTGTACTTGCTGTTCTCATGGTTCTGGTGTCATGCTACCTGGTCTTGGCACCTATCATTGATAAACCCGAGCTGGAGTACCTTTACTGCACCATCTTCATCTTCAGCGGACTCCTCCTTTACTTCCCGTTTGTATATTGGAAAGTAAACTGGGCACGCAGTTTCATGAGTATGTTCCCTTCTCAAAATATTATAATGATTATTTTATCATTAAAGGTGTGATTGACTGAAAAAACATTTTTAATTATTATTTCTGATTATAATCAGTCACTTTGAGTTTTTCATGCAGGCTGAACATGAAAGCAGTCTCCTACACCTACCTCATGTGTTAGCTTCTGATAGAAAATAGACGGTGAAACGCTAGGATTTGAAAGTTCTCACATATCTATGTCACACTGTGAATTTGCAGAAGAAGAATTAGAAGAAAGCGCCTCTCAAGATAAAAATCACGAGGCACTTCACAAAAACAAAAAATGTAAAAATATAAAAAGCATTTAGAAAATGTCTAAAAATATTTTTAAAATGAGCAAAAAGAGACAATTGTGATAAAAAATGTTAAGAAAGAGAGAGAGAGAACAGGAAAGAGGGAAATCAGTGGATCCTGAGGAAGGTGGAATAGGTGGGGAGAGCAGAATAAAGAGAGAGTGGTGAAGAAGGTCATACAAAAGCCAGCTTGAACAAGTGAGTCTTCAGCTGCTTTTTAAAGGAGACCACTGAGTCCACTGATCTCAGGCTCAGGGGGAGAGAGTTCCAGAGTCTGGGGCCCACAGCAGCAAATGATCTGTCACCTTTGGTCTTTAGCCTGGTGCTGCACAACCAGTAGGCTTTGATCATTGGACCTCAGGGACCTGCTGGGGGTGTAGGGACTAAGAAGATCACCAATGTAAGATGGTGCTTGTCCATGTAAGGCCCTATAGACCAGAACCAGGATCTTGAAATGAACCCTGAAGTTGACTGGCAGCCAGTGAAGCTGGAGGAGAAGCGGGGTGATGTGGGTGTGTTTGGAGGACTTGATCAGAAGCCGAGCACAGGCATTCTTAACCACCTGCAGACGGTTCAGGGAGGTTCTGCTCAGACACGTGAAAAGAGAGTTACAGTAGTCTAAGCGTGAGGAGATGAAGGTGTGGATAACTGTCTCAAGTTCAGAGCGGGACAGAATGGGACTCAGCTTAGCAATGTTCCTGAGATGGAAGAAGGAAGAGCGAACAAGAGAACTGACATGAGAATCCAGGGTGAGAGCTGGGTCAAAGGTCACGCCAAGATTCCTGACAGAAGGTTTGGTGTGAGAAGCAAGGTGACCAAGAGAGTCTCAGACTTTGGGAACCAGCTTGTCTGGGGCACAGATGAGGATCTCAGTCTTATCTTCATTCAGCTGAAGAAAACTCCCAGCCATCCAGGTTTTGATAGAGTCTAAGCAGGTGTGTAACAGCTGTAGCTTAGACATCTCATGGGGCTTAAAGGAGATGTACAGTTGGATGTCATCTGCATAAAGATGGTAGGAGATTCCTTTGAACGAGCTCAGGATGTGCTGAAGAAGAAGCAGATAGAGGAGGAAGAGCAGAGGCCCCAGCACAGAACCTTGTGGGACACCATGGGTAAGGGAGGTGGTGGAGGACCTAAACTTGGAGACGGCCACAGAAAAGGAGCGCTCAGAAAGATGAGAGGAGAACCACTCCAGAGCAGATCCCTACCCAGTCTCTCAGCCTCTCCAGTAGCAGGTGATGGTCAACAGTGTCAAAGGCTGCAGTCAGGTCCAGCAGTACCAGAACAGAACAGTCCCCTGCATCACGGTGAGTCAGAAGGTCATTAGAGACCCTAAGAAGAGCTGTTTCAGTAGAATGAGCTCTACGAAAACCTGACTGGAAGCTATCATAGATGTTATGTTCATCAAGAGCAGCTGTGAGTTGTTTAGCCACAACCTTTTCCAAGATCTTGGAGATGAACGGAAGTTTAGAGATGGGTCTGAAGCTGCTATGGAGAGAGGGGTCGAGACTCGGTTTTTTAAGAAGCGGGTGGATTACAGCGTTCTTAAAGTAAGCAGGGACCTGACCAGAGACCAGAGAAGCATTAATTAAAGAAAGCACGCTGGGACCGATGGACTGTTTAGCACTTTTAAACAAAGATGAGGGTAAGATGTTGAGGGGGAATGCAGAGGTCTTCATAGAGTTAACTAGTTTGGTTAACTCAGGCAAAGAAACAGGAGCAAAGCTATCTAGGATGATGGGCCTGGTTGGAGTCGGGAGAGGCAGCGATAAGGCTGAAGGAGAGATGCTAGATCTAACCTTATTGACTTGTTCACAAAGAAAGACAGAAAGTTCTCACAGTCTGTAACATTAATGGCCTTGCCCATCTTGGCTCACAACCACCCAAAGGAAGGCTTTTAAGAAAATGTTTTGTACTACGGAGAGAGAGAGAGGAGAGTGTCTTGGTGATAGTGACTTTGCAACATGGCTGAACGTGTTCTGTTAGCCAATCAGAAGCGAGGTGTGTGCATGTCATTAAGAATAATAAGTAATTCATGCTGTTTTCAGCCCACTTCTGCACCAGCAAGCTTCTGCATCTCAGAACAAATTCAATTCAAATTCAAAAATACTTTATTAATCCCAGAGGGAAATTGATTAAACAGGAGCATCATAGGATTTTTTTAATGACTTGATTGATTTACACTAGAGAACACTGCAAATGTATTGAATAAACAACTAAACCACACCTTTAAAGTATTTTGCGGAGGAATTTTAGCAATTTCAGCAGGCAGTATTTTAGTGTAGAAACTGTTTAACATCAAAAGAAGAAAATGTGTTGCCTGTTATTTTACGGAGAAATTTCAGCAGCTTCAGCCTCTGGTTTCTTTTGTTTATTATTTATATTTTATTTTTTTACAGTGTATGTGACTAGAAATAAGATGTGAATATAATGAAGTCAAAGTAATTATTTTATATTATATTATATTATGTTATATTAAATATATTATATTATATTAAATATATTATATTATATTACATTATATTAGGTGAAAATGGTGAACCAACAACTCAAGTACCAATGCTCTGTTCTCCATTTCCCCATAGGACCCATCACTATGCATCTCCAGCTCCTGATGGAGGTAGTTCCTCCTGAGAAGAACGAATGAGAAGGGACATCCTGCTCTGCTAAGTCTTGAAGATTTCTAGTCTTACTTTGGCGGTCTCTGTGTGATAATAAGATGCTAAGATATCATCGGAAATCAGAGTGTCATTGTTTTTAAAAAACAAAACTTGATCCCAAAACTAAAGCTATAATTTACTTTTGAGTGAAACTTAGAATACAAAAGAAAATAGACATGATTAGGGTTAGAATTCTTATTTATATGCCAGAAAACCAAAGGATATAGTAACAAGGTTGACAGACACACAGAATCCAAGATGGCAGCACCTCCTTTGTATGTGAAATGTTTGTCTGAGTTCACCAGTTTTTAAGGACTTTTTATCCTATATATTTTAACAAGATTTTATAGCAGACAAAAGTCTCTCTGAAGCAAACTGGCTGGGCTAGAACAAGCTTTTAGCCTTCTATCTGACTGAAATTTGAACCAATTACACTCTCATAGAGCAAACTGGTTTGAGTTTGGGTTACCACACCCATCTTTAATTCCGGGCCTGTGCCTGCCATCTCCTTCCAAAGGTGACCAGCTTAGGTCAGCTGTGTTCACCTGGAGTAAACCCACTCAAGCCAAGGCCTGCTACATCATTCTGAAGCTTACAGGTCTGTAACTGCTTCACTCATCTGGAACCACACAGCCTGAGCCTTCAGACATCCAATTGGAGTTACCAGGCCTAAGCCTGCTGTGTTCTCCTGGGGTGGATCAGCTTGGGTTTGCTGTTTGCTGTTGTAGCGAGTCAACACGAGCCTTGGATTCTTACATCTCCTGGAGCAAATTGAACCGAGCCTGGGCCTGCTACATTGTCTGGGAGCGAACCAGTCTGAGCCCAGGCTAGTTGTGTTTACTTAGAGCAAACCAGCGCTAGGATTGCACCTTGTGTCTTTTGCCAGGCTTGCCCCCCACGGAGGTCAGTACTATTCAACACTGTCAAGAGTTAAACAAGGTGGACAATGGCGCTATTAGTTCAGGGTGTCCGCGGGGTTTTAAAAAGTATTAAAAAGTGATAAATAAAAATAGTCAAATTTACAGATCTTAGCGATCATTGTGTTGTTGCAGTATGTAAGGATGTCAAGATACCAAAATGTAAGCCACGTATAATTTGTAAGAGTAATCTTAAACATTTTAATGAACAAGCTTTTCATCATGATTTATCAGCAGTGAAATGGGGAGATATAGATTTATTGCCAGACGTGGAGTTGGCTTGGACTTTTTTTAGAGAAAGTTTTATGCAAATTGTAAATCGACATGTTCCATTAAAAAAATGTAGGATTAAGGGCCGTGAAAATCCTTGGTTTTCACCAGAATTGGCAAACATGATACATGAACGAAATAGAGCTTGGGACAAGGCAAGAACAACAGAGTTGACTACTGACTGGTCTGTTTTCAGGCAGCTGAGAAATAAATGTACTTCTCTGATCAAAAAGGCAAAATCTGAAAATTTTCTATCAGTCACCACAGAAAATCTTAAAGATCCTCAGAGATTCTGGAAAGTGATCATGTCTTTTGCTGTGGAAAAGATCTCTCAGGCTCTTCCTACATTTTTTCTTAGAGATTCAGTTCCAGTTTATAACAGACTCGAAATCTTAAATTGTTTTAACGAACATTTTCTTTCGGTGGGTTCCCTGTTTAATTTTGTAGGAACCCCTTTGATAAAATATGGCATAATACCCCCAGATTTTTCTGGAGCTCCTTTTAACTTTAAACCTTTTACAGTGCATGAAGTTCATAAAGCTTTAAAAAGCATAGATCACAGAAAGCCACCTGGACCTGATTTTATGGAACCTTATTTTTTAAAGATGGCAGAGGATTATGTGGCAGAGCCACTTTCAATTCTTTTTAATCTTTCAATTAACTCCAAAGAAATTCCATCACAGTGGAAGTCAGCATATGTTTTACCATTATTAAAAGGAGGAGATCCAGCAGTTTTGAGAAATTATAGGCCAATATCAAATTTAAGCGTTCTTTCCAAGATAATGGAGTCACTTGTCAGTGTTCAGCTAAAAGAGTTTTTGTCTATTAATGACATCCTCTCGAAATGTCAATCAGGTTTTAGAAAAGGGTACAGCACTACTACAGCTGTTATGAAGGTGGTTAATGATATTATAGTAGTACTTGATAGGAAACAGTTTTGTGCCTCACTGTTCATAGACCTATCTAAAGCTTTTGATACCGTTGACCATGCTATTTTAATAAACAGATTAATAAGCCTTGGGTTGTCAGAACACTCAGTAGCATGGTTCTCAAATTACCTGACTAACAGGACACAGTGTGTTAAATGCGAGGATCTTTGCTCTGATTTTGGGGCTGTCCAGAGGGGGGTGCCCCAGGGCTCAGTCCTGGGGCCCCTCCTATTTATTTTGTACATCAATGACTTGGGCCAAAATATTAAAGATGCTAATATCCATTTCTATGCAGATGATACGATCATCTATTGTTTTGGAACATCACTTTCTCAGGTTGTTGAATCCTTGCAGAAAGCATTTGACTTAGTCCAGCACTCATTGCATCAGCTAAAGCTAACCCTTAATGCTGAGAAGACTAAGTTGACGTTTTTTACAAATAGACAAATACCGAATATTGTTCCTAAACTAATCACATTGGAAGGGAAAGTCATAGAGATGGTCCATGAGTATAAGTACCTAGGTGTTTGGATAGATAACTCCCTTACCTTTAAATCTCATATAGACAAACTGGTGAAAAAATTAAAACTAAAGCTGGGTTTCTACTTCCGTAATAAGTTGTGTTTTTCTTTTTATGGAAAAAAGCAACTTGTCACTACTACCTTTTTATCTGTACTAGATTTTGGTGATCTTATATATATGAATGCTTCTTTAACTGTGCTACAAAAACTGGACTCTGTTTACCATGCGTCTCTGAGATTCATCACAAACTGTAGAGCCATAACACATCACTGTGAATTATATTCACGAGTGAAATGGCCGTCATTGGCAATAAGAAGACAAAATCATTGGTATGTTTTTATTTAAAAGGCAGTGTTTGGATTGTTACCTCCTTATATTTGCACTTTAATCACACGAAAAAATGTTGATTCCTATTCTTTAAGGTCTAACGATCAGTTGCTACTTTCTGTTCCTTTTGCTCGCACACGGTTAGGAAAGAGAGCCTTCGCCTGCTCTGCTCCTTCTGCTTGGAACCAGCTGCAGAAAACCTGGAAAATGACTGAGCAGGTTTCACTAAATGCCTTTAAAACCAAACTGAAAGCTTCAGAGACTGCATTAGTAACTTGTAACTGCTTTTAATGATTGAGTGTTTTATCATTGTCATTACGTTGTAACTGTTTGTATTTTTTGCTGCCTCTTGGCCAGGACACCCTTGTAAAAGAGGTTCTTAACCTCAGTGGGTCTCTTTCCTGGTTAAATAAAGGTTAAATTTAAAAAAAACAATAGCCAGTTTGATTTCCATCATGTCATGCGAATGTTGCGCTACATTAAACGCACACTTTAAGCTACAGTAATGACAACTGAAATCAAATTGCACCACTTTTTAAAAAAATATTTTGTCACACACTCAAATTGCAATAGAGCTGTTAAGCCCCTGCAATGCACAGTTTCACACTTGAACAAAGGGACATGGTATATTTTTAAAATGCATTAAGGAATGGCATACAGTACATGAGGTTTCAGCTGATAATGCACTATGTGCTGAATATTCCTTTATGTCCTCTTGTACTCAAGTGAAAATGTCAATGATGCTGTGTATCTCAATCCTGCTAAGCTATTTTGTTTGTTGTGTTACATTTGTTGTGCATCAAAAGTGTTAGTTTTGTGTACAAAGAAGACATTGGATCTCCCCATCTAGTCGTGGTTTATGAAAAATAATCACCTAGTTCTAAATGTAAATTGTCATCTGAAGATAAACAACTTTGACTTTTTTATTGCTATTAATCTGTTCATTCACAAGCCAAAATCAATGCTGAAAATATCATACCCGTCCACAGCAATAAGAGAGATCCATTACCAGTTAGTACAGGAACTGCAGTTGATGTCACCAAGGGTGTTACAACCCAGTATGAAGTTCTGTGGTTGGCTAATTTTTCATACAGGGCCAAGTTTGGATTGGACAGCCTTTTTCTCATTTTTAAAGAAAATAATCATTTAGAAACAGCATTTTTATTTACTCGGGTTATCTTTGATATTGAAATGTGCTGATCTGAAACATTTTGTGACAAAAAAGCAAAAGAAATCTGTACAAGGAGGGTGGGGGTAGATAATTTATTATGACCCTGTAACTGCGAAACCTCTCATAACCATGGCAACAAAAAATATGTTGCCCTGGAAGATCTAATAACCAGCATTCAAAAGGCTCTTTGAGGAACATTACAGATCCAGCGGTATCAAGAGCTGCTGTCTGCACCAGTGAATCAACGCTCACATTTGCACAATATGACTACAAACCAAGAGACTTGCAGAAATACAAACCAGTTATAGAGAAAATAAAAGATAATGAAAATAAATACTTTATTCTATTTTCTTTGAAGTACATTTTGGCTGACAACCACTTGAAATTAAACAGGTCATACGGTACGTATAAATGTGTGTCAGTATTTTCTCAATTAGAATAACTGAACTTCGTCAGCTTCTGAATGTAACCACCAGATGTCAGTAGAATACCTAAATATTAGGTGGTCTCCACTGGAAGCAATCACAATAGAGATGAAGCCACTTTTTAAAAATATTTATTTTAATTAACTAGTAAATTGTATTTTATGAATGAAATTAGAAGCAGGCATATGTGCTATAGCATTGATGGAAAAAGGAAAATTAGTTAATTGGGCCTTTTTTGTCAATTTTTATGTTGTATCTAATAAAAACAGTATCAAAGACCTCTGACCTTAAGGTGTAGTTCAAACCATTTTTTAATGATTATTTCTTATTATAATCGGTCACTGTGTATTTGTCATGCAGGCCGAACTTGAAAATAATCTCCTACATTTAGCTTCTGGAAGAAACTAGACAGTGAAAGACTTGAAAAGCCAGAGCTCTACGTTACACTGTCACTTAACATTCATGGACTCACCCATCTTGACTCATGATGGGGAAGGCTGTTGTTGTTTTAACGTCCAGGAATCAGCAGAGACTGTCCCAACTAGTAGAGGCTAACCGTTAGCATTAGCTACACCACAACACAGAAAAACTCCTACAGGCTTGTGTTATTTCTGAAGATAAATCATCTATGCTGCAAGAGACAGTGGTAGATTTGTGTTGCTTCAAGGATTCAAAAGGTTTATTTGTCACATGCTCATTCACATAAATACAACTTGCAGTGAAATCTGGTGGTGAGATGTCCAAATATAAAGAAATAAGACTCCAAAACCTGCTGTCTGAAGCTCAGTTGTGATGTGGCTCACTTCTAAGTCCTGTAAATGGTGCAGTGGTGTATTTTCCCCAGAGTATGATTCACAAGGCATTAAATGTGTTATTTGTGTGTTTCAAGTCAGAGGCTGAGTAACATCGCTCTTGTCCAATCTGAGACAAAATGTCCAAATATCAGGAAATAAGACTCCAAATCCAGCTGCTTGTCTGCTGATCTACGCAATTCTGGGCTTTTTTAGCCATGAGTACAGCAAGGCATTAATTCCTACTGTAAAGACCACTGCAAATGCATTGATTAAACAAGTTTCCCACACCTTTAACTACTATCGTGGCTGGAGTTTACAAACTTGAGTAAAAAGCCAATAAACCATTAAAAGTACCCTTTTATCCTCAACAACCATTACACAATTTTAGCCCATTTACAACTTACTGCTTTTATATGTTGAATCAACATTTAATTTGACTTCGCACCACACACACTGTGCACCTTTCACAGTAGGGGGTGCTTTGTGGAGGATTGGTCTAACAGAGGGCTAGGTAGAACAATATATTGTGGTGAGGTAGGACTTGTAGGAAAAGGAGATTAGGTGACAACAGACTCAGAGAAACCAGACTCAGATTTTGTTGCCCTCAACTAGAACTCAAACATGATCTCCCGGGAGTGACGGCTGAGTCTGGAAGGGAGGATTTCAAGAATCTGTGACAGTAAGTCTCTTGGGTGGAGAAATTCATCGAAACATGCTGCGTAATGCCAGTATTTATTTTGTGTTTAGTTTTGTTTAAATGTTTGTATGACTGTGAAAACAAGTTCTAAATATGGAAGAATTACTCTAAATGACCAGAACAGAGATGAGCGCTGGGAGTGCTGGTGTAATCCTGTAAAGCTCCTTTCATATCTCATCTTCATAAGTTTGATGTTGTGGGTGGGAATTTTGCATCGAGTAAAGACGAGCACTTACATTCTGTTTCATCACTCTTTAATGGGTATTGGGTCCCAGGCTGAAAGAAACAACGTTTTTTCATTTGGGTAACGAGTAAAAGAAGCAAAAGCAATCAGAATTTACTAAGAGTTCATTTTTTATGTGTTTTTGGTGGTTCTGAGGTGATGCAAACCAACCAACTATCCATCTATCCACAGGAAGTTTTAGCTGCAAACATATTGTGATTTATTGTGTTGACATTGTCAGATTCGGTGCCCAACAAAAAACAACCGTGACAAGTTGAGTAATATTTTGATTTTTTTTCCAATAAAATCTACAAGAATAATAAATGGTAAAAGTATAAATGTGGCAGGACAAGATTAGATGACAGATCATATAAAATATGATGTAGGGACATATTACGCAAAATTAACTTTTTGTATCCTTTAGTGCTGCCACATGGGTCTCTGCCCCTATAAACCCTCCAAACATAAACAAAATCCTCCCATTTGTCTTCGGTCAGTGTTGGGTTTTAAGAATTATGTGCCTAAAGCCATTTCAAAAAATCCCTTTTTGTGACATCACAAACGGGGACTTAGAATAGAACCTCCTCTCACATGCAAGAGCGAACTGCAACTGGAGGAGGAGTGGCTGTACTCTTAAGCTCCTCCCAGATATGAGATTCTCATCTTATAGACCATTGGACACGTGACGTCACGCACCCAAGTTTTTGACCAGAGGGCAAAAAGACAGCCCCCCCTCACCACCACCATTATCCAGATGAAAACAATAACTTTCAAAATGTTTATAGCATATAGCAGCCTATAACATCTATAGCAGTCTGATTGGGGGATGGGTGAGTATGGCCAGCTTCCAATTTCACTTGTTATTTTTGAAATATGATTGATCACTCTGCGTTTAACATGCAGGATAAATCTGAAAATAGTATTCTACCCATGTTTCCATCATTAGCTGCTAATAAAAAAATATGTTGACGGGGAATTAATGCTCGAATTAGAAAAGCCAGTCAATTCTACATCAATTAGCATTTATGGACTCAGCTATTATGGCTGACATCTGGGAAGACTGCGTCCAGAGCGCATCTTGGCAAGTAGAAGCTAATTGTTAGCATTAGCAATGCCACAACACAGCAGAATTCTTACAGACTTGTGTTATTTAGGGAGATAAAGCACCAAAGTTGCAAACCAAACAGAATCAGTGGTAAAGTCACATAGCTGTTAGCCTATCGGAAACGAGATTTCCGAATATCAGAAAATAAGACTCAAAATCCTATCGTGTTCTGCTCACCTCTCCTCTGGCTAACTTCTAGTTCCTGAAACAAGAACGCCAGAACTTTTTTCCCACAGAGATTGACTTAATATTATTAATTTATATTAGAGACCACTGCAAATATATTGAAAATAATTGTGAACTTGGTCTTTATAGTGACAGAGCCCTGAAATGGCTCATTCTGGAAGGTAATGAAAGTGTCAAGAATTAAACTCCTGAAATCGCTTCATGTGAGAAGAATTTTATCAGTGGATGCCCATTGGGGATGCGGGGGGCCACCCCACCACTCTTACTGGAAGACGAAGAAGAAGAAAATAGGAATCACAATTAAACATAAGAATTACAATACACAGATTATAAATCCTGCGTATAATCTGCATTTAAGTGTAGTTAAAAACTCTTTTACCATGACCAAAAGGTAATGTGAAATATTTCCTGTTCCTTTGGGCCATAATAATCTTTATCATCCACCTAAACTGGCACATGTCCGCTTGATGCCTCCTCCAATGTAAAACATAGGAAAGCTTTTGGGTGCAGAACTTTGTGCCTGAAACATACGCAGAAGATAAGAGTCTCAGCTCAGATCAAGACATTCAGCCAAAAGCTCTCCACCGTCCACTTTTTCACGGACAAAAGATGCTTGCTGTGCTAACAAACTGGTGCTTAATTGGATTTCTCCTGCCTCCTCTTTGAGCTGCCTGGTACAGATGAAGCCTGGATTCAGATGGGTATTACAGATTTAAACTGTAACTGAAAACACATTGAATTTTTGCTTTAATTTAATTTTTTAAAATTGTACCATGAGAGTAATACTTTGGCTTGCCAACTCCGGGTCGGGAGAGAGGTCCTACCTCAATTGGAGGAGTT